TCATCTGATAGTGAAATTCAACCATAATCACTCTTTCATGATGCGGATCGTCATTGTCAATTTCATCTATTTTAATTATTTCAGCAGTACTAAAGTTCACAAACATTGTCTTCTTATTTATCCGCTACTCTCAAAAGTGCATGTACCCCTTTATTTTTACTTACATCGTCTTCGTCTCATACTTGGATTATAGACACATGTGTCACTGGACATATAACTGGGAACCAAGATATATTGTCCTCTTTCTCTCCTACATCTAATTCAGTTATATTAGCTGATGGTTCACGTACATCTGTTTAGGGTGTTGGCAATACCAATCCTACCCTGAGTCTTTCCCTTCCTTCGTATTCTATCTTCCTAGTTTTTCCTATAACCTTTTATCTGTTAGTAAGATTACTAAATTATTAAACTGTATTGTGATATTCTTCCCCACATTGTGTCTTTTAGGGCCTGATCATGAGGAAAACGATTGGGTCAGGACATGAGCAGAATGACCATTATAAATTGGACTTGGGCGCCAAACAGTTAGCTTGTATTGGAAACTCATCAGCTCTATAATATCACTGTCAGCTAGGGCATCCATCTCTCTGTTCTCAAGCTTCTAAATCCTCAGTTCAAATCTCTTTCCTCATTAGAGCGTGAGTCGTGTTAACTTGGCAAACACTATCGTGTATCTTATCCTAATCGAGTCAATAAGAGGGCTGCTAAGCCATTTAATTTTGTTCATTCTGATGTCTGGGGGCTACGCCCAATAACTTCTAAATTGGGATTTCGATACTTTATCAGTTTCGTGGATGATCACTCTCGTGTTACTTGGATTTATCTTCTCAAGTCTAGGTCTGAAGTCTTTTTTACTTTTAAACTCTTTTATTTTGAAATAGTCAATCAATTCAAGACTTCAATAAAAATTTTCTGATCTGATAATGCAAAGAAATATTTGGATGACAACTTCACTAGTTTTCTTAAACAACATGGAATCCTTTATCAGTCTTCTTGTGTTACACAACAAAATAGAGTTGTTGAACGAAAGAATAGACATCTCTTTGATATTGCTCGGACTTTGCTATTCCATCGTCACGTTCCCAAAGAATTTTGGAGGGAAGCTATCTTAACAGCATGTTACTTGATTAATCGAATGTCATCTTCTGGTCTGCAAGATAATTTTTTTTTCAAAGTTCTATACTCCAACGATGATCTCTTTATGTTTCCTCTAAAGATTTTTGGTTTTTTGTGCTTTGTTCATAATCATAGTTCAAATAAACAAAAGTTTGACTCTCGGTCTATTAAAGATATTTTTTTAGCTACTCCTAAAAACATAAATATTACAAGTATTTCTGTTCGTTACTCAATCGTCTTGCGTTATCTGCTGATGTAACATTCTTTGAAGATAAACCCGGTCATTCTAGTTCTTCATCTCCATTATCATCGGATGAGTATGATTATTTAATCCTGTTAGAGTCATTGGTTAACAGTGGTGGTTCATCCGCTGACAATACTATTTGCTCTACTAGCAAAGACTCGACTAAGTTTAATGATCCAATTCAAGTTTATCATCGTCATTATGCTCCTGCTCTTGTGCCAACGTCGGCCTCAACACCACGTCCTCCACCCGAAGAACCTGAATCAGTAAGTGCAAATTTAACCCCTTCTGCGGAAGACCTTCTTATTGCACTTTGAAAAGGGATACAAACTTGTACTTAACATCCTAGTTCTAACTTTGTCTCCTATGATCGCCTATCCTCTACCTTTCGATTTTTTGTTACTTCTCTCGACTCATATTTGGTTTCTAAGAATGTGTCAGAAGTCCTGTCTATTCCAAGTTAGAACCAAACGATATAGGACGAAATGAGGGCCTTGCAGTAAAATGAGACTTAGGATTTGGTCCCATTTCCACCAGGAAAGTTGTCGTCGGCTGCAAGTGGGTGTACATTGTCAAGTTAAATCCTGATGGAATTTTAGCACTGGTTGTTAAAGGCTATTCACAGGTGTATGGCTTGTATACGTATATACTTTTTCTCTGGTGACAAAAATGATATGTTCGGAATTTTATTTCATTAGCAGTGACAAACCACTGGCCACTTCATCAGTTAGACATTAAGAATACATTCCTTAATGATATTCTAGATGAGGGGGTTTACATGGAGTAACCACTAGGTTTCGCTGCTCAGGGGGAGAATGCGAAGGTGTATAGGCTGAAAAAATCACTCTATGATCTGAAACAGTCTCTGAGAGCCTGATTTGGACGTTTTGTATCGGTTATTCAGGAATTTGGGCTTTATCGTGCACAAAAAAGATCACTCTGTCTTCTAGAGATTTCAGAATGAGAAACGAATTCTGCTAGTTGTCTATGTGGATGACATTGTAATTACAGAGGATGATGCTTCTGGTATTGACAGCCTGAAGAAGTATTTACAGACACATTTTTAAACTAAAGATCTTGGTTCCCTAAAATTCTTCCCAGGCATTGACGTTGCAAAGTCAACGAAGGGTATTCTTCTATCACAAAGGAAGTATGTTCTGGACATGCTCTCAGAAACCGAAATGTTAGGATGCAGAAGCAGTGATTCTCCAATGAATGTGACCTCAAAACTATTACTAGACCAGAGGGAGCTTCTTGAGAATGTTGGGCAGTATAGGAGATTAGTGGGGAAACTGAATTATTTGACGGTGATCAGACCTGACATCACATTCGCAGTCAGTGTTGTGAGTCAGTTCTTGTCCACACCAAGAACTACTCACTTGAATGCAGTAATGAAAATTTTGAGGTACTTGAAAAAGGTTACAAGATGAGAAGTTCTCTACTCAGATCAAGGACACACCAGAGTTGCAGGCTTCTCTGATGCAGATTGGGTTGGATGTCCTTTTGACAGGAGATCGACTACTGGATATTGTGTTTTTCTCGGAGGAAATCTGGTGTCATGGAAGAGTTAAAAGCAAAGTGTTGTGTCTCGATTCAGTGCAGAATCATAATACAGAGCTATAGCAAACGTGACACTAGAGATGGTCTAGATCAGAGACCTATTGGCAGAGATTGGTCTCCCTCCAGAATATCCCATGAGTCTATATGGCGATAAGAAAACAACAATTCACATTACTGAGAATCTCATGTTTTATGAGAGAACTAAGCACATTGAAGTCGACTATCATGTAATTCGCAAGAAGCTCGAGGACAAAATCATCACGGCAAAATATGTATCGACAGTACATCAGTTGGTACATTAGTTGGCAGATATTGTTACAAAACCACTTACTCGAACACATGTTGATTTTATTTGTGACAAGCTGAGCATGCATGATATATGCTCCAGCTTGAGGGGGAGTGTTAGAAGAGAGTATGAGTATTAGTGTAACATTAGTTTATTCTCACGTTGCCTGTGAGACTAATTTGTAACTAATCCATCTCTATAAATAATAAAGTATAGAGTGAGTGAAAACTCTCTTAAGAAACTATTTTCTCTCCAAATCTTAACAAAGACATTATATTATGATTAAGTAGTAATATTATTTATCCTTTTATGTGAATTCATAAACATGTTCTTTCATGCTTGATTATCTATCTTGAAAAATTATGTACGCGGTGTGTCTAGCTTCACTCGGGCAGGCGCCTTGCGTTGCACCTTGTGCATGCGAGTGTAAAGGGACTTTGAGCCTTGCATTGTATCTCTCGCATTGATAACACTGCTCGTAGGTTGGACATCCTATGAGCTTCCATTGAGCATTTTGGAGATACGCTAGTAAATGATTACTAATGAATATGAATTGGGAGATGATGCAAAAAGGTATATCATATATATCAGATTAAGTCTTATGCTTACTGCCCCTACTAATTCTAAAGAATGTTCATTGGGGTGTCCCCACCGCTATGCGTTGTGTTGATGCCACCTTGATGCAATGATAAGTAGGAATATTATTTATCCTTTTATGTGAATTCATAAACATGTTCTTTCATGCTTGATTATCTATCTTGAAAAATTATGTACGCGGTGTGTCTAGCTTCACTCGGGCAGGCGCCTTGCGTTGCACCTTGTGCATGCGAGTGTAAAGGGACTTTGAGCCCTGCATTGTATCTCTCGCATTGATAACACTGCTCGTAGGTTGGACATCCTATGAGCTTCCATTGAGCATTTTGGAGATACGCTAATAAATGATTACTAATGAATATGAATTGGGAGATGATGCAAAAAGGTATATCATATATATCAGATTAAGTCTTATGCTTACTGCCCCTACTAATTCTAAAGAATATTCATTGGGGTGTCCCCACCGCTATGCGTTGTGTTGATGCCACCTTGATGCAATGATAAGTAGGCACGTGGTTATTCTAACAGATTGATGGCCTATAATAGAACTAAATAGAGGAATAAGATTCATGTAGCGAACAATGTTTTAAAAAGATCTCGCCTTACCCGCCTAGGTTCCTACCTAGACCTAGGCAGCACCTAGGCTGTCTAGGCTTCGCTTGCCTAGGTCTTGAGAGCGTCTAGGGGAGCGGAGACAGCTTATGCAGGCTGCATCTCTAGGCCTTGGTCGTGATTTCCTCTATTGCCTCCACATCCTAACCTCATCTAAACTCCTCCACCGACTATGAACACTTCCTCCAAAACCAGTGACCTTCAGCAAAACCTCCTGGGCCACCACTTAAACAAAAAAAAATCTTAGGCCTAGCACCTAGGCGCTAGGCGTTGCACCTAGCAGTGCCCAACGCTTTTGATAATATTGATTGTAATTAAAAAATAAAAAATAGAAAGCTCCGAGGCTCTAGGCGTCGGGTCGATGGCTAGGGCCCTTAGCGCTTTCTGTAACTTTGAGCGGACCCCAAAATTTTGGCATAGACGCTTTGTTGTTGTATACAAGAAAGTATACACTAATTATATTGCATATATAAGCGAAATTCATGAATTATTTTCCAGTAATTCTGACTACAAAAGGATGTCAGATCAATCATTTTTATTACATTTTATAGCATTGAACTTGTCTTTGTTACGTTTCTACTTTTGTAGGCAATCCCACCAGTTACTCGCATGGCTTTAGGTCGGGCCACATGGGTTACTGTGTTATGCAGGAAGTTGAGAGATTGGTGGCATTGGGTATGCTATATTCCCAACATTTGAAATCATTTTAGTGTGCTGTTCTGTTTTCTAAAGTCATGGGCTAATAGGATTTGTTACACAGGTTGCTGAGGGAGATATTCCAATTGTTGCCTCTCATGGGTGAGTTCTCCTGATTACCGTGGCTCTTGAACTTTAAAAGATAATTCTGATGCTTTTTTTTGGGATGCTGACTCTTTAGGGCGGAAGTTGAGACATATAAAACTCTTGAACCTGCGACTCGTGTATTGATTTTGAAAGCATTATGCGATATCCGTGTTGAGGTATCTTTTCTATTAAGTGCTATGCTTGCATGTTTTCTTTCTTCCGCATTTCTGTGCAACACAGAACTTTGTACAGTTCCATTAACCTTGTGCTTGTTCCTTTCTGTTGTATTAACTTATTAACCGGAAGCTCCCATTTTTAAGAAAATGGCACTTTTCATTTGTTAAACTAATTAAGCGAAATATCTGTAAACACAACCTCAGAAATCAAGGCAAACCATAATTTTGGCTTTATTTAAATTTGTCTGAAACCTCTATATTACTCCAAATTTATTTTATCTCTTAGATTTTATGCTGAATGACCCAAGAAATGTTTGTAATCCTGTTTGTGTGTACTTTCTATTATGCCTGTATGGCCCCTTTGGTCAAGATGTTTTTTTTTACCTTTACTTCACTTCTTCAAACTAGTCAAGTTAATTATAAATTCAGATAATGAGGATAATCGGGTTCCTCCACAAGTTGGGGCTTACTGGGCTGTTTTCATTTGGCAGTTGGACATTATACCTCCATCTTATCCTTTATTTCTTAGTGGTTTTTAGATTTCATTTTTGCCAAAATTGTGATACATTGGTCTCTTTTGCTTGTTGAGCCAGAAAGGTCTTTATTATTGCCCGTGGCAATTTCATTATTTTAGATCTTCTGCTGGTCAACCTAGTGGATGGTCATTTTCAGGATTCCTCCTTACTTTCATGACTGCTGAATTGGGTTCTATGGTAGATCTCTCTTTTGCTAATATAGTTGCTTTATCCAGAAAATTGACACATAGCGGGTTGATATAGACACGGATGGCCTGTCACAAAATCGGGGCTATTATTTTGGTCATATCAATTGTTGACCCATTTTGGTGGGAAAACTATTGGATGATGGTGATTTTGAACTCATTCAAGAGTAGGCAGGATTCATCATCTATGATTATGCCTAAAAAAATTATTTTCTTTTCTTATAAATTTATTTGTGTTTGAGCTTTTCTTATTGCCTGAACTCTGGGAGTATTATTTAGTCTAGGTTGTTGGCTTTGTGATTTACATATTCCAGAAATTTAAATTCTCATTGTTTGGGGGATGTTTCAATGTGTAATCTATGCAGTCAACTTAAAAGTGAGTTAGAATGCAGAAAAATTTGTGGTCTAGGATCTCAGGTATTCTAGAGTTCAAGGAGGATTAAAAGCCAAACAAGTCGATTCTGTACCAAAGGAAAAGTTTTTAGCAACCGTGGATACACCAGAAGGAAGAACCTGTGAAAGTTGTAAGAGGATAAGCATAGCTGGAAGAGAAATATAGAGAAAAGGGGAAGGGTGTTTCGTTTAAGGGAAAAAAGTTTCTTTTTTTCTCCCTTTATGAAGAGACTCCTGCAGTTTTATTATGCTTAAGTGACGAAAGATAAACAGTCTGCTGAGTTTGGCGGTGAATTTAGCTGAATAACAATGTCTCACAAGACCTTATGTCATGACTTCATTTTGTGATATTCGGGTGGGTGCTTAACCAGTAACCACATGTTATACATTTCGTCATTTCCAGATTTCCTTTCATAAAATTGACTAAAAATTTTAATTTTTTTTACTTCTATTAATGATTCTAGTGTTTCAAAGCGGCAATTAACTAATATCACACATAGCTTTCAAGATTTGACATAAATCATATCTGTTAGGATTCTCATGCATTTCCCGTATATGAAACACACGGATGATGCCCCAGTCAAATATATACACACTACACTTAAGTATATAGATTTGCATAACATTATGTACATCCACGCTTGACTATGGTTATGGGAAGAGAAAGATAATCATGCAATACTTAACTACACAAAAAAGAAAAAGAAGAAGATAATCAAGAAATTTATTTAAGGATCTGATCATTTTAGCTCAGCTATGCAGGCTATAGACTACTTGCTACCATTGGTCTTAGACAAGGAACCCCCAAAATTTGAATGAACTATGACATGGATGCCTTAGTCTTGCCTAAGCACATGCAAGTATGTGTCACTTGTTTTATCCTATCTGCTTTTATTACTGCAGAAGCCAGGAGATAAGCCTTGGATGCACGATGAAGACATAGTAGTGGTAAGAAAATGAAGAGTTTTTCTTCCATTCTTGCTTATTCTAGTTTGAAGGGTAGGATGGAGGAAAAACTAAGGTTATGACTTCAACAGGAAGTGTTTCATCCATTAAATCAGAGAAGCTATTCATTCTGTGGCCTAATTCAGACGAAGGAAAATCTGTAGAGGATCTTCTATTTCTTTATTTATGATCTTCAGATAAGGTTATAGCACGCTAGCTTTTAAAAACATTGACATTTCCAAATTTCCTTTAATAAATTGACTAAAAGATTTAATTGTTTATTCTACCTTAATGATTGTGCAGTGTTTCAAAGCTACAATTAACTAATATCACAAATAGCTTGCAAGATTTGACCTGAATCATATCTGTTAGGATTCTCATGCATTTCCTGGATATGGAATGCATGGATGATGCCCCAGTCCTCAAATATACACAGTACATACATGTCAAGTATGTAGATATGCACAACATTATGTCCCATCCATCCTTTGACTATAGTTCTAGGAAGAGAGATAATCACGCAATACTTAAACTACATAAAAAAGAAAATGAAGAAGATAATGAAGCAATTTATTGAAGGGTCTGATCGTTTTAGCTCAGCTATGTAGCCTGCAAACTATGTGCTAGCGTTGTTCCTAGACAAGGAACCCCCAAAATTTGAAAGAACTCTGATATGGATTCCTTAGTCTTGCCTGAGCAATGCTTCCTAGAGAATAGTTCTTCACATGCGAGTATGTGTCAGTGTCACTTGTTTTATCCTATCTACTTTTACTACTGCAGAAGGCAGGAGATAATCCTTCGATGCAAGATGAACACATAGTAGTCGTAAGAAAGTGAAGAGTTTTTCTTCCATTCTTGCTTATTCTAATTTGAAGGGTAGGATGGATGAAAAACTAAGGCTAGAATTTGAACAGGAAGTGTTTCAATCCGTGAAATCAGAAAAGCTATTCATTCTGTGGCCTAATTTAGATGAAGGAAATCTGTAGAGGACCTTTTATTTCTTTATTTATGATCTTCAGATAAGGTTAGAGCATGCTAGTGCTTGGGAGAATACTGTAGTTTATGTACTCTTTGTTCGGCATGAGACTGTCTTGGCTTGAAGATTAACGCGTGTAAGATGATTCTAGCACCTGCTTGGTGCTTGGTCATAATAGTCCTTTAATGTTATTACTAAACCAAATTTTCAATGGAAATGAAGGCAGAGTAGTAATCTAATTTAACTAGTGAAAAAAGTGAATAGCAGATGCGTTATCTACATGAGTCATTGTTCGGTCAAACTTACTGATTACCAGTTGCAACTATGCTCCATATTTTATTTATTCATATATTTTAGAGGGGTTTCTATTTAACATGTAAAGAAAATAGGCCTGGACAAAATAGATCAAATCAAAACACGATGGCCCAATCCAACTTGTATAAAACATTGAAGCTAGGGTATCAAAAGAGGGGGAAAAATCTTGTTTCATTGTCTTCGCTCAGCCATTCTTTGGTTTTAGACCATTTTCTAGGATCCCAACAGTTGCAGTCGCCTTTGATTACTATATATACTTGCAAGAAGGCAACTTTTATTCCTTATTAACTTATTATTTTACTTTTTTTACAATTACATTTATAAGTTAATCTACTTCATTATCTTTTTCTCTTTATCTATATTTCTTCTTTCTTTCTCCCTATTCTCTCTTCTTCTCATTTTAGAAGTAGGCGCCTTAAATAATGAAGTGAAAAAACCGCCTAGGCGATGCCAGGTTTGGTGCCTAGAGGCATCTTACCCTTTCTAAAACATTGGCTATGATACCATATTAAATGTCCCTTCACTTCACCAAAACTTTGAAATTTTGGAAATGGTTGAGGGTTATAATTTTATATTCTAATATGTACTCAAAAGTTTAGTGTCTTTTTCATGGACGTGAATTTGGACCCTTTTTCCACAGAGTGTAGACTTTTATAAATTCGTTTGACATGCGTGTCTGATGGGATTTGAAATTGGGTTGCTCTGTTATCATGCTAAAGGTCCTTCCACTACATCAAAACTTCAAAGTTATGGTATGGATTATAAATTGTTAGTTTCTACTCAAACACGTCTTTGCAGATTGGTCTATTTTTAGAACTCTCAACTATCACACAACTTTGGAGTTTTGATGCTGTGGAAAGAGCTTAAAAATGTTATAACCCTCAACTCTCTCATAAGTTCAGAGTTTTAATGCTGTGGAAATGACTTTTAAAGTGGTATCTGAGTGAGTTCAACTTCCACTAATCAAGTGGATTTATAAAAAAGTTACTATTGCATGAGTCCATGTTTCGGTCCATAGTTAAGGACACTCAACCTGTGCAAAATATGTTATAATATTAAATTATAACCCTAACCATCAGTTCCGTGTTTTGATATGATGGAAGGCACTTTAACAGAGACTAAAATTGCTTTCAACTTTGCTCCAATTCTGGTGCATGTATCTATTTTGGTGTTACCATGTCATAGAAAGTTCATTACAAGTTGAATTAGTGCACCAGTTGGTGCAACTGAATGATGATATCAGTTTAGACTTTCCCCCTTATATTATCCAGCCTGATTGATCTTCATGTTCTTTGGAGTAACTACAAATTTCAGTGTACTCCCTTGTTCGAAAAAGTTTCTTTCTTAAATGAATGTTTTAATAAATCATCTCAGGTTAGCTACATCGTGTTGCTCGACATGACTCAAGACCTTCTTAGGATTAGCTTAGTTACCATAATTATTTCTGTTGAAATGGTAAATCAGAATCATATTAGGGTTTCTCCTCATGGCTCCAAATATATGGCTCCAAATATATAGGAGTACAAATGAGTAATAGGTTATTGGGTCTTAACCCGATAACCCAATACTTAATTCTAACACTCCCCTTCAAGCTGGAGCATATATATCAATCATGCCCAGCTTGTTACACAGAATGAAAAACATCTTAGGTGAAGTAGCTTTAGTAAGAATGTTAGCTAACTGTTCTGTAGACAGAGTGAATTGAAGAGAGATCACTTTCTTTTCCCAAGCATCTCTGACAAAATTACAATCAACTTCAATGGCCTTAGTTCTCTCATGAAACACCGGATTCTTTGCAATATGGATAGCAGATTGATTATCACAATGCATAGACATAGATCCAGGCTGAGTAAAACCAAGCTCGGTCAGCAGCTTCTGTAACCATATCATCTTACAAACAGTGTGAGCCATAGCTCTGTATTCTGTCTCTGCACTATATCCAGATACTACATCTTGTTTCTTGCTCCAAGTAACCAGATTTTCTCCAATAAAGGTACAAAATTTAAAAGTAGATTTTCTATCTCCAATATCGCCCGTATACCCAGCATCAGAATAGACAGAGATGTGTAAATGCCAATGTTTCTTATATAGTAATCCTTTTTCCGAACAACTTTTAACATAAGCTAAAATTCTTAGAGCAATAGTTCAGTGAACCTCTCTAAGTTTAGCATAAACCTGCTCAGTACTCTCACTGCAAAGGTAATATCAGATCTGGTCACAGTAAGATAGATCTTGCCAATCAATTTCCTATATCAGCATGCATCATCTAGGAGAGGACTATTATCACGCCACAAATCCACATTCACCTCCATAGGAGTGTTTGCTGGCTTACACCCCAAAAGGCCCATCTCTTCTAATAAGTTCAATACATATTTCCTTTGAGATAGAAGCAAACGGTTATTTTGATATGTAATCTTAATTCCAAGAAAGTATTTAAGTTTTTCCATATCTTTGGTGACGTGAAAAGTACTCATTAGTCTCTGCTAAGGCAGCAATATCACTCTTAGTTAGCAAGATGTCATCAACATATACTGCCAGAATCACCAGACCAGATGTAGTGCGCCGGATAAAGACGAACTGATCAGACTGACATCATTTGAAATCGACACCCGATATAGTAATACTGAATTTCTCAAACCATGCCCGTGGACTCTGTTTGAGACCATAAATCGTTTTTTTAAGCTTGCAGACAGTATTCGCCCCTTGAGCAACATACACTTGAGGTTGCTCCATATAGACTTCCTCCTGCAAGTCACCATATAGGAAGACATTTTTAATGTCCAGCTGAAACATTATCCAGTCCAGATTAACAGTCATAGAAAAAAGTAGGCGAATAGAATTGAGACGGGCTATGGGAGAGAACGTCTCAAGATAGTCGACCTCATAGGTTTGAGTATAGTCCTTAGCAACAAGACGAGCTTTATATCGATCAATCGAACCATCTGTGTGATATTTGAAGGTATAAACTCACCGACAACCAACCACAGTAGCACCCGTCGGAAAAGATACAAGATCCTAAGTCCTTCTAGAAACAAGTACATTAATCTCATCATCCATGGCCTGTTTCCAAGCAGGAACTAACACGACCTCCTCATAAGACCTGGGTAGAGATATAGTGGACAAGGACAAAGCAAACTGATGAGAAGAGGGAGTAAGACGGTCATAAGAAACAAAATTAGATATAGGATGATTAGTACAAGACCGTTTATCTTTCCGATGAGCAATTAGAATATCCAGATCGGAGGAAATTAAAATATTAGAAGGAGACAGACTTGCAACGGGAGATGACTGTTCGGCTGGAACAGAGAGAGGGATAGAAACTTTTGGACGACGACAATACGTTAGTAGTGGCGGTGGTGCAGATGGTATAGTGAAGACATTTTGTAGTCCTGGAGAAGATTCATTAGCAGAAGGAATGGAAGCAGATAATGGAACAGTAGTAGGAGACGGAATAAGCACAGATGGATTGATAGGTGGAGATGAACCAGCCGAGGAGAAGTATGAAACAGACTCAAAAAAGTTACATCTGCAGACACAATATCTCCTGGTGGATGGGTTATAACACCGATAACCTTTTTGAGTACACGAGTAGCCTACAAAGACACACTTAATAGACCATAGAGATAGTTTATCCAGTCTTGGAGATAAATCCTGAACAAAATAAGTACAACAAAAAACACGAGGAACCACAAGAAAAGGTTTTTTGTCAGGATAAAGGTTGGTGAACAGTATTGTACCATTAAGAACAGGAGGGCATCCTATTGATCAGGAAACATACACTGAGAACAACATTAGACCACAAATACTTTGGAACATGCATATGTATCATCAGGGTTTTAGCAACATCTAAAATGTGTCTATACTACCTCTCAAGTCTCAACAACTCCATTTTGTTGTGAAGTGTGAGAACATGAAGTTTGATGGATAATACTAATATTTACACAAAAACGAGAGATGTCATTTTTCATGTATTCTAATGCATTATCGGTACGAAGGATACGAATAGAGGTGGAAAATTAGTTTTTGATTTCTTTGTAAAATATTTCAAAAACAGTCGAAACCACAGATCTCTCTTTTAATAGATAAAGCCAAGTCATGCAAGAGAAGTCATCAATAAAGACAAGGAAATATCTGTAACCTTTCACTGAAGGTATACAAGGACCCCAAGCATCAGAATGGACTAACTCAAACGTAGAATTACTATGTTTATCAATACGACTCGGATAGGTAGCACGATGGTGCTTACCTAGTTTACAAAACTCACAACCTAAGGAAGAAAAAGAAGATTGGATAGAAATGATAGATCTAAGCTTCGATAACGAGGGATGACCAAGGCGTTGATGCCATAGTCAAGGATGATCATATTTTTCTGTAACAAGACCAGTAACGGACGTATTATCGTCCAAATAGTACATACCTCCTCTCTCATGCCCCGAACCAATCGTCATCTCAGTTGCTAGGTCCTGAAAAACACAATAAGAAGGAAAAATATTACTTTACAGTTGTGTTTGGTGAACTGACTGATGGACAGTAAACTGACAAGAAATTTTAGAAGATATAAGACGTTAGTAAGGGTCAGTGATGAAGTAGCATGGACTACTCCATCACCAAGAACTGGAGAATATGTATCATCAGCAATGCGGACCGATGAAAACTTGTCAGAAAGGTTTAAAGAAACAAAGTGATCTTTTATACCTGTCATGAGAAGAGACACCAGAATCTAATACCCATGGCCTGTGAGGAGAGGCAATGTAGGCATCCATACCTGAAGAGGATGTATGAGTAACAGAATGACTATTCTGAGAGGACTCGAGTTGACGCAACTGGTCATACTCAGCTTGCGAAATCTGAACAGTGGAGGGAGCAGAAGTAGTTATCGGAGAATCAACAAAGGTAGGTGTAATATCAGCAATCTGGGCTCATCAGGGCGACCAAACTTCTCCCAACACTTCTCAGAGATATGATTAGTCCTTCCACAATGTCTGCACAATGTCCCTACGATATCCCAACAGAGTTGGTGCATTTGTAACGACGGGCTGATGCATCTCTAATTCATCGATTAGACTTTTCAGCTCACCAAAGTATTCAGGTACAGAGCAATCGTCCTGTTGAAGAGAGAAAATGCGTTCATACAACTCGAACACGAGATGCATTTTTCTTATTCTCGTACATAATTGTTAAATTATCTCACATCTCCTTAGCAGTGTTCAAGAACATGACACTGCTACTAATCTAGGCTTCCATGCTATTAAGAAGCCAAATCATTACACAACAGTCAGCAGAGATCCATGTGGGTTACGTAGGATCTGTAGATGCGGGAGGTAGGGCCAGAAGATGAACTAATTTATTCTGAGCATCAATGAAGATGTGAAAGGTTTGTGCCCAAAGTAGATAGTTGGTGCCATTTAACTTCACCGTGGTCCCCAATACAATTTTGGGGCAAAGATCTCAGCAGTAGTAGGGGTAATAGTAGCCGCAGAAGAGATGTCAGATCCTGTCATTGTTACAGAATAGGATAGTACAGTAGCAGGAGGATCATAATCTTCTTGTATAAAACCCGAATGTTTAAAACAGAAACCCGAATGTTAGAATAGAACCCGAAGGTTAGAACCTGTGTTAGAACCCGAATGTTTGAACAGAAAACCAGAAGGTCAGTTTCAGGAACCCGAAGGTTAGTTTTTTTTAATATATATATATATTCTTTATATATATATTTGTTTTTTTTTAAATCTGTAGACCCTTACACCCTAATCAAGAATACATCACTCCTCTCCTTTCACAAATCAGGCCCAGCAAAAAAGGCCCAAACCCAAACAAATAAACACAACACAAATGACAGCCCGGTCGGGCGATGAACACAAAAAAAAAGCAGCGGCTAAAAAAAAGGTAAGAGGGCGACGACGACGGCAACGTCTAGCGCATGCCGATATGACGTCGGCCGCAAGAGTATGAGCGACAGACCGTCGGCGGCAAGAGTAGACGACGGATGGCGACTAAGGACTACGAGCACAAGATCTGAAGATGATGGAGCTCACGATCTTAGGCCTCTTCGACCGTAGACGGTGAGACGGCCGGATGAAGAACGGCGCAACGAAACTGAAGATCTGAGGCGGCGAAGGCGCGGCTGCTGGTTCGGACAGACGATGATGACGACGGTTAAGGACGACAGCGAACACAAGATCAGAGGGTGGCTTCGAGCGACGGCTAGGGTTCGGAGCTGGAGTAGTTTTTTTTGTTAGGGTTTGGAGAGTGACGACTCTGATGCCATGTTGAAATGGTAAATCAGAATCATATTAGGGTTTCTCCTCATGGCTCCAAATATATAGTATTACAAATGGGTAATAGGTTATTGAGTCTTAATCCGGTAACCCAATACTTAATTCTAACAATTTCTGTAAGTGTAGAATCAAAAGTTACCAAGGTCTTTTTCATGACAGTCTTGTGAAGGAAAAGTCATTATCTTCATTGAAGAGGTTCTCCCTCTCTTTGTTCTTTTCATTGAATAGCGTATCTCTCTCTCTCTCTCTCTCAGTTTCTTTACATTCTTCTTAATCTACCACCATCATTTGTACTCCCATAAATCCATATCATTTTTCTAAATATCTGACAAGAACACAGTTGCTGCCTTGCTGGACCTTTTCTTTTTCTTGCAAATCATTTTTTTAACTTGTGAAATATCTTAACTAAATTCTGTCCCCTATGATTGGATTCCCTAGCCATTTCTTGCCAAAATTTGAACCTCTAACCAGTTGAATACAAAGGTCAGGAGTTTCCTGGATGGACTCCTTTTGTCTTTTGCCATTGCTAGTAGAAAATTTATTGTCTATAGAACAAACCTACATATGCACTCTCAAATCTATAAGATGTTTCCTACTGTTAATGATCTTATTTGATATATGATCATGTCACCGCCCAAACCAATAATAATATTAATAAATTATGATAACATCAAGATACGTAACAGTCGGCCACAAATCTTCTTATCAAGGGACTCATGAAGCCTAACTTCAATATTTTCATCAAAATGAAATTCCAGATATGATCCGTAAAAACCTCATATTCCACATCACAAACTTACATTTTTTATTGGTCTAGACTGACTAATGTGATAGAGATTCATGGCTTTCTAGGATTATCAAATACTATAACAGATTGTGGAAGGAATTTCTCAAATCACTACTCCATTCCTCAGTTGAAACAAAATAGTAAATTTTCTTACATCCTGAAAGCACATTGGAATCTATCATTGAAGCCACGATAATCTGAAATATTGGTTATATTTGGGGTGAGCTTTCGACGCACTCAATAACTGGTGCATATTCTATAATTTATAGAGAAATAATCATGCACACTTGTATATGATGATGCATATAGTGTAAGTTTGGACTTTGAATATAAGGTGTTCTTTTACGGATAATATGTCTGGAATTTCATGTAAGCGAGGGTCGCCTTAGACGAAGTTCGCCAGTTTGATCCATGTTATTCAAGTTTGCTATTTTCATTGTGAACTTCACTTCATCCTATCAACAAAGTTCTTTTACATTCCACACTGTTCTAGTTCCCCTGCATGGTTTACTCGGTTGATCACATAAAATAATTAAAATTTCTTTTGCTGATGGACTAATTTACTTTTATTACTATATTTTGCAGCAAGAAGATATTAGAAGTTATATAGAAAAATCTCTAAAACATGGGATTCATCTTTCTGTATTTCGTAGAGAACGGATTGGTGGTGATTCTCATGGAATCTCATATTGGTAAAGTAAATGTAACTTTGTGGTTATATTTGCCCATCAATTCAGAAGCACTACTTTATTTTTTAATCATGAAAATAGGATTGAAGCACCTTATGTATTGCTTTGAAATAATATTTATTAACGAAACTGTTTAACATACTTCTATCTTCCTGTCATCAGGTATGAAGATGACCCCATTATTGGGCACCGTTTGTATCGCGAAATTAGACATGTTGAGGTGAAAAAAGCAAAGGCAAGGGGCCCTACACCCCTGCCTCATGTATCGTACCAGTGGGAAACAGTTGCAACAAATTTAGATGAATTTGAGGAAGTCTCAGTAAGTTCTTGTGTTTGTAATGCTGATGATATATTATGAGCGTGTTATAGTCATTTCCTGTGGTATATGTGTTTTAGTTATTACTTTGATATATCAGAAGGTTACTACAAACGATACATATCCAAAGAATTTCGAGGAAGTTCCTAGAACATGCTTCTAAATTTTACAGTAATTTTAGTCTTGTTGAGTTCGGTAGATGTTCCATTATGAAATTTTCGTCTCAGTTCAGTGCATAATATTGTAAATAGTGTATGTGCATGTCCATGTGCACATGTATCAATCTTCTGATGTTGCCAATGTTTCAAAATCGACATGTATTCTTGCGTACCGCTCAGATTTTCTGAAATGGCGATGAACTAAAATTATGTTTCTGCCAATATTCAACCTTTACCTCTTAGGTAACCCCCATATTCTACAAAATTGGGCTGCTAGCAGCTTGATACTGGTTGCTGGACAATACTGATGGATACTTGCTTGTAAAGTTAAAAATTAGCATAAAGCTAAAAATGAGCAACAAGATAAAATAAGTATTATAGTATTTATCTGGTCGACTTTTTGTTTCCTATAGTTATCATAATTAGTGTAAGTCAAACCAATACTATGCTGTATTAAAATATATAACATAGAAAATAATGTGTGGATATATGAAATAACAATTCCTGAACAAAAGTAATGTATGATAAATTAAATGTCTAAGGTTCTGAATACTTATTAAGCTAACATAATAAAAAAGATTAAAAATAAATTTGATTAGAATCTATTTGGCATAATCCTACATACTAACGTTGACTAGAGCACATGGAATGAAAAGTAGAAAATTATGGAAATTATAAAAGCTATGTAAAAGTAAAAACTTGAAAATAAAATAAAATAAAAGAAGCGTCCATCTTTATTGCATTTCCTACGTACTAACATCGACTAGATCACATGGAATGAAAAGTAGAAAATTATGGAAATTATAAAAGCTATGTAAAAGTAAAAGAAATAAAAATAAAATAAAATAAAAATGTGTCCATCTTTATTGAATGTGCTACTGAATATTAGTAAACATTAATTAAGAAATTTAACTTGAGCTTGTCTGCTTATTCATTTATGTTAAGTATATCATTGCAGATATTATTTTCTACTTAATATTGATGCTTTATCAGTTAGCTCTTCAACTGAATCCACTTCGTTGGAAATGGGTTGGACGATGACAGTGAAAGGGCTTTTGCAACCTGATATTGTCTTAGTTTTTAGTTTATGTTTTGTTTAGACTGTGACTTGCAATTCGTTTTTAGCTCTAATCTTCTCATATATTTGGTTATGAACAGTGTATCATTGATCCATCTGTATATTCTCTACACTTCTATCACTTTTAAGTGGCATGGCATTCTGTCATGGAGAACTTAAATGACCAAATTCACGTCCTTCTGTGATCTTATTTCCCTCACAGCCGCCTATCCCCCTTACTAACTCAGCATTTTACTCTGTTTTCCCAGGACAAGCTTATTTCAAGTAAAAATAGGACAGAAGCTGCACTTGGAAAGCGGTTGAAGATTGACCTTCTTCCAGAGATCGAGCAAATCCACAAGGTGTGTTCAACTGCATGCCCCTTCCACCCCCACCACCACCCCTCAGCTCTTCATATATTAATCTGCTTGTCAGAAGTGGTTGAACATATGCAATGAAATGGCCGTAAGCTAATTATTTTTTGGCTGATAATGCAGAAGAAAGAAAGACTCTTGAAAAAGCAACAAAGACAAGCTCTTCTTCTTGATAACTTTGTTACTACAGATGGACTTTCTACTGGTCGATCCCTTCGTGATAGAAAACCTGTCACCTACACTTTTGGTAAGAAGTTTATACAGAAGTTTCGGTCAAAACTTTCTTGCCTTGAGGCTGCATATATTCCTCATAATTACTGTTTTCTCAACTAACTCAATTAGTAATGTAGAATCATTTTCGCCAGATTTTAGAAATAAATACATTTGAAGCAAGCATGTGGTAAAATCTTCCTTTCTTTCTTTAAGTAGTTTTTTTTTTCGTACACAGAAGAAGGATTAGCAAGGATTATACATGTTCTAAAATCATAACTCATGGGAAGTTTATTTCTCTCACGAGCCTTCTTCTCCAAGTGCAGGACTTATTTCTCACTTTATGTGAGCTTTTTTAGGGCGCCTCTCCCTTTTCCTTGCCTTCCTCTTTTTCCAGCATGATGCATACAAGATTCGCTTCCAAAAGTATTAATAAAAATAATATCAAATGCATTCAAACTTCATTGTCAGTAGGAAAGGAAATGTGGGATTATTCTGAATTGATTTTTTTACATCTTGCACAATAGCTTCCTGTCCTTGCTATGAAAACCTTGCAGCAATTTACAGATTATGTTGATGTACCAATTTGCAAATTACAATCCCTCCCTCTATGTGTGCGCACGCGTGTATTTTTGAATACAGTAAAACCTTGTACTCACACAAATTTCTGGAGAACCTTAGGCGATGCAAAAGTTTTTCAATCTGTTTGTATACTGTGTTTGATCTATGAACCCATTTTTGAGATCAGCAGTATTAGCTTGTGAATTGATTGCTAATATAAATTACTATCTCACCTTGTATAGATCCAAATTCAGCAACGAATCTTTAACCATTCTTGTAAGCTAAGAATGGACTATTGCTTTCAGTTATGGTTGAAGCAATCAATCATGTCTGAATCTTTGGTCTTGTGAAATCTTTGATCTTGTTGTCTATGTACCGTCACATCATTGCTTCTTTTTGAGTAACAAACCGTCCTTTCTAATTTTCGGTTTTTACTTTTTAAAATTTTTGTTCTTAGCCTTGACTTATCTCAGGTATTAACCTTATCTTTTTACCTGGCGCCATTTCCCTTTTCCCTCACATGGAGGTAGACTTGTATTTTGATTATTTTCCAACATTATTCCAGCTGTTAAGTACAATTAATGTTTCTATTTTGTTGTACAAATCTATATGTTACTTCATTGGACTAATCATATGTATCAAATATGCAGATGACTATGACCGATCTATTAGTGAAGCTATAAAAATAACCAAGTATGTATCTCTGACCTTTAGTTCCTAGCGTAATATTGCTTTCCATATTTTCCCTCTCCTTATGTTGGTGTATTGAGCTCTATGCATGTATTACCTTGATATCTTAGGAAAAAACCGGACTCACCTGAACATGTTATTAAAAAGGAAGGTGGAGCTAAGCCCGAGACATCCACAGAAGGTGATGGTAAGCCCGATCCATCCATAGAAGGTGGTGGTAAGCCCGAGCCATCCACAAATGGCAGATTGAATGGCACTTCAAAAGCCATGAAACAAGTTTCTTATGAATCACAGTCCTCAAAATCAACTGATTATGAAGAATCTGATGGTGAACTACAATCTGATACTCTTGATCGTAGGTATAATATATAGATGTTATACTGTTTCTTTCTTTCTTGCGTTAATTGGATATGGTCCCTCAAATATTTAATTTTTTGATACTAATCAACCAAATGATAGTTAGCGGTTGTTTGATTTGGGGTGGGGTATTTCTTTAACTAAGTTGGGGGATTAATTTCAAAACACCTAAAAGATTTGGGGGTCTAATTTCAAAATATGAAGATTGGGGATAATAGTTCAAAACACCTAAAAGATTTGGGGGTCTAATTTCAAAAAATGGAAGATAGGATAGATATTGAAAAAAACCCTTTTCCCTTTTATTTTTTACTTTACGAGACCTGGATGATTCTTCTATTTTTGACATATAATCATTCTTCGATTATTTATTTTTGAATACAGTAATCGGCGGAGGAAAAGACCTCAAAGGTATTCAGAAAAGGACTATGTTGAAGCTGTTTCGGATAATGAGGCAGACTTCGACAGCGATGATGATATTGTTGGAGAAGCAGTATATGATGACGAATACCTCAAAATCAAGAAGCAGAAGAAGGTGTCGAGTAGCTCAGAAGGAGATGAGGAGTACCGGTGGGAGGAAAATGATGACGAAGACGAGGAAGGAGAGGAAGAAGAGGAGGATTCGTTGAGTATCAGCGATGAAGATAGTGACGATAACCACAGATACAAGAAACGCCCAACTCGAAGCAGGAGAGCAGCAAAGAAGAGATCTGTTGATGAGGTCAAGTCGGGTCTCAGACGAAGCAAGAGGGCTACAAAGCCCAGGTTCAACTACCGCCAGTATGAACTGTCAGAAACTGATGCAGAGTCTGAGAAGGCCGAGCAGTCCAACGCATCTGATGCAATTTCAGATGCCAGTAATGATATGGAGCTTTCGACAGCAAGCCAAGATTCTGAGGATCACGAGGAAAATGGTGAAGAAATGTTGAAAGACGAGAAAATGAATGTGGATTCTCCTAATGAAGATGTTGAGAAAGAGGAGGGTCAATCAGTAGAGAAAGCTGATGAGAGCCCTGTGCAAGGGGAAGGTGGTAAAAGGAGGCGGTTTTTAGACCTTAATGAGCTTGCTCCAGGAACCGGTTTTGAGGATGGGCCTAACTCCATGACGAAGGATGAAGATACCGATAACCCTTAGAAATTTAGCCTCATTGGTGCAGAATTTTACGTGGACGGGCATTTTTTTTTTTTAAGATGGCAGAAGATTCTCAAGTGTTGGAATCTTCAGATGGGCAATGTTGGTGTTCTGAGGCATAATATAAGCTATAGAGAGGCACGCTACGATCGGAATTGCGAAGAGGAGAATACGCCCTATTGATTCTTCCTTCAACGCCCTAGGAACCTCTCAGTGTACAATATCACCCCTTTCGATGCTGTGAACAGTGTTGAGTGGAGAATTATGGGCTCTGAATGTTTTAGCTGTTCAGTTCACCCTTATTAGGGGGATGTAAGTCATTAGATTTAGATGTATTGCTTTAGGATTAATCATGAGATATAGGGGGAATGTATGATCTTGTTGTAACGGCTATTCCTATTGTCATAAGAAGCTGGTATTGTGCTCAGGATGGATACTGATATTGATGTTGCACGTTCTCACTAGTTCGTAATGATATCTGCCGGCTACTAATGATTCTCAAGTCTGCCGCGTCTCAGTACTAGTGTAGTACCCCGTTCGTATCTTGGTGCTAGTATGGTTGCACGATTCTTCTTTGCACGCGGGCATACTTGTTTCTAGTTTTGAATATTCTTGAATTGAATGACTAAAATTTGCGTTAATCGCTTAAATGAGCATAAAAATTTGTCTGAATATTTATTATGTTCTAAATGATTATGCATGTTAACGATGGTTTGTTTATACGATTGTAACATATTATATGATTATTATGATTTAGGTAATCATCAATCGGGCATGTACCTCAGTAGTACAGCGTTTATTTAGTGTCACTACGGTGTGGGGATCTACGCTGCACATCCTTCATCTTTTGTTGACCACAAGATTTTATAAGCTAAAAGTTTCTTCGAAAAAAATTGTTGCCTCCTTTTATTTTATTTGTTACAAGTCCACTCAGATCATCCTTTTATCCACCGTAAAATTAAAAAAACAAACAAATATATGTGAATCAATATCAAGTGAAGCAGATACATTTTTCTAACCTAAGGTCAGAAAGGTTTTTTAAAAAAAAGGAAGGGCATATCGACATCATTTCTAAGTATTTACTCAAATGCACGTGCAATCAAAATATTACTTTAATTTCTAAGTTAACACTATTTTTTAATAAAAAGGTTACTCTAATACCCTAGAGTTTTGCTTATTTTTCACTTTGATAATTAAAGTTTAAATTTATCATTCTAATAAATTCAAGATCCGAAATAAACAATATTAGAACATGACATTGTTACATTAAATTATACTAAATATCTTAGTGAAAATATTATAAACACTTTTTTTCCATAGTAATTAAGCAATATAAAAATTATAGGATTTTTAAACTAGAAACCACCTTAACTAAAGGGCAATTACACAGAAACCACCTTCTATTTTTAATTTACACATAAACCACCTTTAAAGTTGGTTTTTATTGCAATCAAGCACCTTCTAGTTAAATTTTCACTAACAAAATTTAAAAATAAGCTTAAAAAACTTCAAGTTCAAGGTAAGTGAGCTGTATCCTAACGAGATCTAAACACTAAAAAACTAAGTCATGTATATTGAATGTGAGTTTTTAAGAGTAATTTTGAGTTTTAAGTGAAAATTTTGACTGGGAGGTAAT